TAAAACATTTGAGGAGGATTGGAGCACTTATTCAATTAGTCCAATGATCTGTTAGTCTACTGACAATAAATTTCACTTCTGAGGAGCAATTCATAATTTTAGTCATCTAGTAAAAACACCAAACAAACTACTTAATGCTTCACGAATGCAGATTCTGATAAATCGAGATGGCCAATATATCAGCTTTATCCGTATCAGCATATGCGTCGACCAACGAGTAACAAGACATTGTTATTGTTACATTCATAGATATAGTTGAGCCTATTTAGAAACAGCGTGCACATTCGGATATTGGCATATAATAATCATTATCAGATTTGTTAGCCACTCAAATGATCAGTATCTGCCTCAAAAATCCAGTTTAGTCAGACTATAAGAATATTGTTTTATTGGTTGCTGGTTTGACATTTTATAGGCTAAATTACTAATTTAGTAATTGAGTCATCAAACAGTACTAGTTTAACCAATAGAAAATGTAGTCATAAGTAACAATCCCTAAAGGTCTGGCAATGACTTACTCGAAAATAGCAAAGCAGCATAACACACAACACTCTTTAACCATCAGAAAATGCCAACTGCTCATGGTATTATAGGACGTACAGTACGAAGTATCAAGTGCAACACTAAACAGAATTAAAATGACTCCAATAATTTCCTATACTATCCAGGAATGACCAAATAATCAGACATAGATGGATTCTACATTTTGTTTTAATATACAGATTTCAAGCTGTATGGAAACAACTTACAAATAATTTCGGATCCCATTCACTCGCTCTGTTTCTTCACTGAAATTAAAGTAAAGTGATATGAGTAAAGACTGCTGCAAGTGAGCTGAGAAAAGAATGGCGTGGTGCTGAATAACTCGAGATGACAAACTCTGGAAAGAAAACAAACACTCTTGTCACGCTTTCAGCTCTTTGCAACTGGAACGTGGCACATTAGCACTTCGACCCAGAACATAACACTGCAGACGGGAGTGAGAGAGGATCCTTTGAGAGAAGAATTAGAGTGCAGCCAGGAGGAAGACAGGTCACACTAAACACACAAATATTACGAGGTCCCGAATTTCATTTTCACAACACAGTGAGGCATTTTTTTATCAGAACATCTTCAATGTAACCACACCCAACGTGGGGCCACCCTGCTGCGTGCAGACACAAGGCACATGGGTCAGTCAGACCATTATCAGGAATGAGAGAGAGAGAGAGAGCTGAGATCTACTGTTCAGAGCTCTGACTTATGTAACTGTCTTAATGAGCCTCATATGCCTGTTATTTTCGTCCTATCACTACTGGGATCCCATGGAACAGTACACAGAGTGCTCTTTGACCCAAAATCACATGACTGCACTAAAACCCCATAGCTGTTAATTGCTGTGCTACCTCTTCGCCATAAATCAGTAAAAGGATATACTAATGTTGGCTTAACAAAGGCGACTCTGTGCTTTGGAACAGTGATTAATGCTTAAGTTTCACGATTTAATCACTAATTTAAGAGAGAATCCAGAGAGTCCACTGTAAAAGCCCAAAAAAAGCTGGTAATATATATGATTTGTGATGACAAGATTTTGGCTCTAAAGTGCGGGGGCACTTCTGCTGCTACTCAGATGGAAAATATTACATAATGCACAGATGCTGCTCACTCTGACGAGCAACATATCAGTGCAAGGGTGGCAGGCAGCACAGCACAGCACAGGAGCTCAGGTGTTAGTCCCAAGGAGAGAGCAGCAGATTTGCATGAGCTGTTTTCCCTTTCAAACATCCTCTGCAGCAATTTGACCAACCTGGCCCACGCTGGACCACTTGCAATACCTCCTAGTCAAATAAGGAAGAAACATGAAGTTCGTAATGGTAACCACAGGCTCGAAAACCTGTGTAACACCTTGTCCTTGTCCTAAAGCCTGGCTTGAAACCAGCCAGATTTGCATGATTATTAATTTTCTCCAACCATCAGTATGTCACACTTTTGTGAAACTGGCATCTGTGAAGATTCTCAGTCATCCAGATCATAGTTATCCAAGGAAGGTTAAGATCAAGGGCAACTGGACTTGGTGGAAGATACTTGAAGATGTTTCCCATCTCATCCAAAAGGGCTTGTTGGTGGTAATGTCTATTATTTCAATTATTACAAGATATTTTTTAACATATGTTGCTTTATTAGCCACTTTGCAGTGCAGAAAAGCAACACATACATGGGGTCACAGGGCAAAATCAGGCCCAGGAAATAGCAGATACACTTCACTCTTCAGCTAGCTGAACCACCCAGCTGCCTCTCTCACAGCAGAGAGAAAAGCCCATCGTAATGTGCCAAAACTTCCTTTATTCTGACAAAGTAAACCACTCACTCAGAAATAAAAACATAAATTTGCCTATTAAAATTCATTAGATTGACAATGATATAAAATTATATAAACATATCATAAAGTTCAACAGTTGAACTGCCACTGAATGATAACCAGGAAGTCCAGATCTGGACACTGCTGTTGTTGAGCTCGCCTAGGCAGCTTTCCTGCTCACTGGGCAGCCATCATTCTCCCAGCATAGCATGCAAGATAACCAGTTATCTCTTTTTTTCTTAGGACTGGCAAAGATATTTCCAACTACTAGAAGGAGAAATGTAGCACTTCACTGTCAAGAGCAGTGATAATGTGAGGCTCATGCCAGGCTGGTCCAGTACAGCATCTAATAATGCACACAGATAAAATATTTGGAATACAAATATGTCACCTGGGGTTTTGATTAGATTTCCATTATTATAATTTTGAGTTATTGAGTTTTGAGCCAGTGACTTTCTTCCTTGTGTTACACAACCTTCAACAAGCCAGCCTCACCTCCCATAAAACAACACAGACGTCCAGTTCCTGCCCAAAAGCGCAAGACACAGTTGCGGACACATACATAACAAACTTTGGCATTAGTAGGAAGCAGAAACAAAAAGTAAATGTTGATACAGCGAAACTGAGTGACTGTCCATCAGCTGCACTCTGGCCCCAACTGGTTGTATGACAGGCTTCCCAAAAACAAGAATTTAATTTAGTTGAAAGGTTGAAAATAATAAAATAAAATGAGCCACCCCCTAAACCAAGACTGCATTTAATTTTTATACCGCCACTTAACTGTTATCATTTGAATTATGATACAACAATAATACCTTCTACAATCTCAACACATTGGTTTGTCATTTGACCAGAAACTGTTTAAGCGCACCTGCAGATTTTCACCTGTCGCAGCATCTGGATACACTTGGAAACACTACACGTAAAGTCTATTTGTAAAACAATGGTCAAGGCATCTAATGTTTCACTAGATGGGCTACATGAAACTCATCGAACCCTTACCAGCCAATCGTCTTCTTCCGAGTAAAAATATTGTTTTCCTGACAGTTGCTGCTGCAGTCCTCACAAAAAGCCCAGTCGATACCCAACTGATAAATAAATGCGATTAAGATAAATGTACGCAGTGTGTATTTCCACCGCAGGGGAACAGCGTACAACTACAGAATCACTCCTCCGCTGAGGGCAGCAAGAAGCCGTGTGTGTCTCTGTGTCCCTGCTCTGCCTCTTTACATGCAACCATGCCTTCAGTGCACCACTGGATCCAAAAATGACAAGCGACTCGAACACGCCCTCTGCAGGCATACTTCAATTTGCTCAGGAAAAAATTAAATGAAAGCTTCATTTCATTTCTTTGCCTAAAATGTGTAAGGTAATGATAATATCTCTGTTATCTCTCCCAACTGTAATAGGAGTTTATTCACATCTGCGTTCCTGGTTGCATGATATTTGACTTTTGGTAAATACAGTAGCAGTAAGGTGGCCTAGTGGATAGCACTATGGCCTCACAGAAAGAAAGGCCTGGGTTTGAACCCTAGTCGTTTCTCCCAGTGTCTGCATGGGTTTCCTCCGGGTGCTCCAGTTTCCCCCACCATCAAAACGTTAGGTAGGTTCTCCAGTCACAGCTGTTTGACCAGACACTGCATTCAATCTGGTTTGTTTGGATAATTGCGGCCCGTCTATTGGCCCCGGGTCTAAAGTGTGTACATGTGACTGGCGGAGAGTCTACAGCGCGGCTGAGCTCTCGACCAATCGGACTTCGCGTAGCCGCCAGAGCTCCCGCATCCTCGCGGTGATTGACAGCCGGTAGTCTGCTACGGCTTTCGGAGCTAGCTAACTCACCTGCCCCCGCCTCCTGTGGCTGATGTTAACTGTGGATTAAGAGAAATAACTCCACTTCATAGCCTACTTCAAGGTAAGGAATAACCTCTTTCACCTAAGTTTATTTTCGCTATTATTGTGTGTGTGTGTCCGCATAGTAACGTAATGCTAATTTTGATACTAACCTGACCGGCGTTAACTCATTCATTTGTCCATTTGCAGGCTCTGATGGTAAAACAATAACCCGAAATTACCTTTTAATAATACCGACAAAAGCCCAATAAAGTCTGTAGAAAACACTAGCATAACGTCGCTGATAATGTTTTAAATAGTTGGCGTTGGGCGCCGTAAAGCAAGTTATGCCCAAGGTCCTGACGGGTGTTTGTTTGTGTGTGTTTCACTTAATTGTAATCAAGACCGTGGAACAGTATTTATGGTAAATCAGCCCCATTGAACACATATTAATGCACATACGAGCCGCCCTCTTCTTCAAACTCCCTGTCGCCAGATTTGAGGGAAACTCTTCATCATCTTTCCAAGCTTGTCTCTCTTCTAAAACCATTTCTAGGGCCCTCTATGAGCAGATACTCTTTGCCATATTGATCAGTCACGATGAGGAGCCCCGTTTTGCAGCTGGGATAGTGTTTGAGTAAACATATGATGTTTAAAAGTCTTTTCAAATAATAACACAAGCATTCTCCATTGTACCACCAAAACGTGTCACCTGGCTTCTAAACGTCTTTCTCACCCTTGTGAAAGAGTTTCAGAACCACACTGGCTGTATGTGTGAGCTAGAAAAAAGTATGCACATTTAAGTAAGCCCTCTTTAACTGGCCAAACATGTTCTTACAGAGAGTGAGGACAGAGGATGGAGTTTAAGACAGCTCATCATTCAGCAGGTGAGTCACAGGGGAAGACTGGAATATTCATCTTCACCGTCTTCATCATTACCACCTGTGTTTCCTCATGCCAATTCTAAAGAATTTTCTTCCAGCGTGTGTCATTACATAATCATAACACTTTAAGAGTTTAATGTTTTTCAGCTAAGAGATCTGGAATGGATCTGTTGATGCCTGTCTTGTGTATTCTGGACACAAGTGTGCCACAGGATAGGCAACAATGCCTTCTTAAGGCAAGAAAGGCGGCCAGGGCATGCCAGTCGTCAAAAACATCCCAAACGTATGACGACAGCAGGCTGAGGGATCCCAAGACGGCTATTGAGGAAAGTAATATATATCAGCATAGGTGTCCAAGACGCACGACCAACATACGGTCACATGTCCATGTGCACTAGAATTCTTATATTGTTATTTTATAGTTATAACAACACTTTCGATGTCTTAAATCTGCAGCTAAAAGGAGATGCCAGATAATCACGGCAACTCCGACAGAGAAGCAGTTTTTTGGTCAGCTAATTATTACTTTTGGAAAGTACAATGGCAAAAGCTTAAAGTGGCTGGTGGAAAATGATGTAGGATACATTAAATAGTGAGTATGTTTCACTAAACAATCAATCAAACTTTGTACAGTTTGTCTTTTCTTATATTGAATATCATGTTCTGTATTTTAGCATCCTGGACTGCCATATGAAAGAGGGCCGTCAACCAGACAGGAAAGCTGGAATCAAAGATGAGTGGGTGAAGGATTACCTGCTCAAATACGTGTAGTTGTTTCCTCCAGTCTCCTGCCACCTGGAGATCAACGTTGACCGGGCCATTTATGGCCAGGGCCGCTTCAGGTCCTTCACATTCCAGGAAATGTGGCAGTGGTACAGCCTTCACAAGCACCTCCAAGCTGACCCTCAGGCTGGGAGTGACCATGAGAGGAAGATGGCTCAGGAGGCTTTCTCCTCCGTTCGACAGTGGCTCGTCATGAAGGAGGACGACGTCTCTTCAAAGTTGCTGAAGCGCTTCAGACTCTATATTGTCACCAAAGAGACAGAGGTAGGTTAAGGCACCTTAAGGAAAAAGCAGGGTGCAGTTCATAAGAGATGCCTCAAACCTGTACTTAAACTGTACTTTACAGAAACCTCAGCAGAAAGTGGCCCCTCCCGCAGCAACCGCCACGTCGTCCAGCACTGCCACGTCATCTAGCAACCGCCACCAGCACTGCCACCATGTCGTCCAGCACCACCACCAGCACCACCACCACGTCGTCCAGCACCGCAACCGCGTTGTCCAGCACTGCCACGTCCAGCTCTTTGGGGTCCAAAGTTGGACCGATGATGCTCTGCTGGCTGAAGCTCTCGCCACTTTTGAAAGGCAAGGTATGTCAGTTTTTGATTTTCATTTATGGCTTGAATTAATGTAATTACATCATGAACCTCATATTAAGTCATCATTAAGAATCGTTATCAAGTAAAAAAAGTTTGAGAATAATACTGAGGATGATTGAAGCTCGTAATAGGATTACAGTTTTGTCTTCCAGCTGCAGATTTTTGTCCTCATTTCCATTCAGGGGACACTGACCCGACCCCTCCCGGAAAAGAGGCTGAACCAGAGCCTCCACACCAGCCACAGACAGACAGCCACCTGTAAGGCCACAGTTCATAGATCATGACCATCAACATGTAGTTTTATACTAATACATACTCCTCCAGCACCTGGTGGTCAACATGGGAGGACCTCTGATGTTACTGGCGCAGCGCTGCTGCCAAGCAAAGCCCCTGTGACCCCGGCAGCAGCGGCTGCTCAACCTGAGGTAATATATGCAGCCTTGTGAAGGAAAAAGATTTATAGTAAGAGAACACAGTAGCTGGTAGATTAAGTTTTTGTCTTTGTTATGCTACCAGATAATATTTGAGGGATGGCATAAATCGTGGGAGTCTGGTCCTCACAGGCTCCCCAAAGCAGATGTCAAGTGGCTGAAAGAGGGCTCTTCCAGAAGGAAATGTCTTATGAGGACAAGCACGGAAACATCAGGAAGAGGAAAGTCCTCAAGGGTGACAGGATGTGGTTTGATCCACATCAGCAGACTCCTTCTTTCGCAGCCGTGTGTTTTTCTGGAGGCCAGTAGGTGTGTGGGGTTACAGCCTTCGCTGTCCCAGGTCCGAGTGCCCCGCACGCGCCCAGAAGGACACTTTTCTGTACCGCTGTGGCTTTTCCAAAACGGTCAGACAGATCTGCCACATGTCTGGCTGGTATTCCATGCTGACAGAGGTCCTGGCCTGTAACGCGTGCAGGAAAGCTGCTAAGGAGTCTGAGCAACATGTCATCGGTCGCTTTGTGGCGTGGGAAGCAGCCATAATTAACAAGCTCAGCCCAGCTCACCGAGCCGCGTTCCCTGCCGTCTTAACACTAATGTGAGTCTTTGCATCATTTCTAATTAAATGTTATACTAGAGAGCATTTAATCTGAGTTTCACCAGCATCACACGATTGTGCTGTAATTTCAGGCGTGGCGTGGACAAGCAGGTGGTCTGGCTGATGAGGGATCGCAGTGAGGGCAACACCATGACCAAGGTGTGGAGGCACATCCAGGAAAGCCACTGTGAGGAGTATCTGCACAGAAAAGACCTCTAGACCACCCTCCTCAGCCAGCTCAATAAGCCCGGTGGGATCATAAGTAAGTCAGTCGGATTTGAGTTATTTGTTGTGCTCTTCCAGTGCATAGTCGCAGACTGTGTAAAAACATGAATGCTGTGTCAGATTTAAGAAATAGGTCGTTTTAATCGGGTAAACAGAATACAACAGGAATGACACTGCAACAGGAATGAGGGAGCTCTGTCGGCACCCTCAGAAGATTCAAACTGGGCAGGAGAAGTTAACTAAGTTAACTAGTTGATCAACACTGCTGGTAGTACTGAGCCCATTAGATTCCTGGAAATGAAAAAATAAAAATCTCAGATAGTGCAAATGGTGTTGAGAGATGCGGCAATCTGATCCAAAGAATCAGAGATTTCCCTTCAGGAATGGAGTTTGTATCTCTGTGTGTGTGAACATCAATTTTTCTGCTTACGGGGACTCTCAGCCATCAGTTTCAGCATCCGCCACCAAGGAGGGAGCTGCCGTCCCCAAAGCTGCTGAGGAAGTGCTTCCTCCTCGCTGAAACAGAGAACATCGAGGACTACCGCACTCAGATCATGTCCACGTTTGGCAAAGTCCTTAAGTACGACTCCACCAAGAAGGTAATTTGACTCAGTCTTTTGAAGGGGAACATGTTTCACTGAATTGAACTAAAGTGTGTACTGAAGATGATGTTTGGCTGCAATGGTCATTTAATTTGAAGGCAGTTTAGAAACTAAAAGTTCTGTTTAAAGTAAGCTTTATTGCCAAACAAACTTCAGTGTTTACCTCCAACATTGTTTCTCCTGTCTCGATGTGCATCATATCATTTCATAATTAATAATTAATCGACAATAGTAATAAAGCAATAGCTCACAGCAAGCTGTTATATACTCTTATTGTATTGCTTTTTAAGGGGCATTCCTCGGCTGTATAAACTGTAAAAAAAAAATGTGACAGTGTGTTGCACAAAGTGAGGAGGCTCGCAGCTATAACAGTCGCTTTGTTTTGTGTATGTCATGCAAGAAGCTTTCTGGACAAGGAAAAGGGACAGCAGAATGGTGCACAAACGTGGCCAATGAGCTTCCGTCCTTACCTGTGAGGAGTCTCTGGACAAACTGAGGCCAATGGCTGAAGGCCTCATGGCGAGATATAGGAGAGCAAATGAGGCACCTCCTGAACTGATGTACGTGGATCGCGGCTGCTGTCGTGTGCATGGTGTCTCATCTTTGGAGCAGCTGTTCAGTGAGTGGGCCGACAGCGGCATGATGGTGCGGCTCGACATCTTTCACTGGATAACCAGGTTTAACGCGGCTCTCCGAACAGATCACCACCCAAAATACGCTCTCTTCAAGTCCGCGCTTTCTGCTGCTGTGTTCGTGAATAACAAGGACGACCAAATATGCTTCCCTGTCTGATGGTCAGATCATTGAAATGCACGTCGGCAAATCTGATCTGAAGCATTACGTCAGGAGGATGACGGTTGGAGCCCAGGAGACCTTTGTCCGCGTGCAGAGTGCCATCGACATCTTGAAGGGAGCGGCTGGAATGGACGAGAACCAGATCCATCTGTTCAAGGATGCAGCAGCCATTGACTGGGTCTGGGAAAACCAGCAGAAACACCTGGAGTACATTCAGGATCCACCAGGAAGAAACATGTACACCATCACCAAGTATGTCACCCGTAATGGCGTGCGCCTGCCGTACTACAGGACCGTGAGAGGCAGCAACAGCCTGGAGAGCTTCCACTCCTTCCTGCCCAGCATGATACCGGGGCCCCACTGTGCAGCTGTCCCCTTCCAGGTCTATCTTCTCAGCGGCATCGCACACTGGAACTCTGAAAGGGAGTCTGCCAATGTGCCTCAACCAGAGGTGCCAGGAGTTTTTCGGCGAGCCGGAGGAGGTAAATTTCCGACCACCTGTTCCTGCTGGTGACGAGCGAATTGGTTTGGAGTATCTGTTCTCCCAGTCGTCAGAACCTTTCCGTGCTCCTGACCATTACGCTCAGGCCAGAGAGACGTTTCGAGCAGCCGAGAATGAAGATGATGATGATGAGGTGAGTTTGTATGTTTAGCAGTTAAAACCTTCCATTATCAGATATATAGGTGGTTGCTGACCAGGAAGAATCCCTGGAGGAAGATGCGGGCTACAACTCTGACAGCGAGACTGACAATCTGACTCCGCTGAGGAGGAATCTGCGTCTTACCGACCAGGTTATGGCTCCTGAGCTGGATCCCTGTGTATGCGGTCCAAATCATCTCCCCGGGTACCAACACGTAGAGGAGCTGAGCAGAGTACTTGTTGAGATTGCCTTGGAGGAGGGAAAGCTTGCTCTCAGTGACTCTACAAGACAGAGAGTCGTCAGCGCCTGGAACAAGCTGGACCTCCACGACCGCAGCATCCAGCAGTTTGACAGCCTCTACTCAGCACGCAGGGGCAACGCTCTGTTCGGCCGCTCCAAAGGTGAGCCGTCCGAGTCGTCTTTGGTGCAAAAGTTGAAGTTCAGCAAGCGTTACTCAGCCGCCTACCTGCTGGACTCCAGAAAGAACCGGCTGATGTACTGCATCATTAAACAGCTGTGGCTTCATCCTGACTGTGGCGCAATGGCTCGAGGGTCGCCACAGAAGCACAAGATCACCAAAATGTACCAGCGTGTGCAGCAGAGAGTGACCGTGGATGACACTGACCTCAGCAAACTCGGGATTCCCATCCTGACAATCAACTCCAAGTGCGTTGCTGAGTTCATCAGGAGACAGGAGGCCCTGTCAGCTACAAATGTGACGGATCAAGTTTTGGCTGTCCTCCGCCGTCATCAGAGTGTTTCTAGTACTAGCCAACCCTCTGCAGCAGAGCTCCCGAATGAGAGACCGCACACCAGTCGACCTCAAGTGCAGTATGAGGTCACTCCATCTTTGGCAGGCACCAGAAAACTCAAACCGAGGCATGACCATTTCGCCGGTCAACCCCCCGCTCAGCTGCCAGTTGCACCGATTCAAACCGCCTGTACGTTCAGGCAGCCCACAGCACCTGCCTTTACATGTTTTCTAGTTGTTCCCCAGGTGCAAGCATCTGTTTCACTCCCCCAACAGCCTAGCTCGATGATCTCACCGGCAAGGTCAACTCTGTACAAGAGGAAGAAAGCAGAGTGCAGTGGCACTGGGCCTTCGCAGACTTTAAAAGGGCTATGGACGAGGTTTTGGGCCTTCAGTCCCAGACCCCCCCGGCCGTCTGAGCAGACATTTCCACCTGTACATATTTCAATCCACACTTGCACTTTGCATATTGTTGCTGTGTTTTTACTGTAGCTGTAGGTGAGGTTGTGTGCACTCAGTGCCAGACCCCAGAAGCCTTCTCAGCAGACATTTCAATCTGTACATATTTCTGCTCACAAATGCACTTTGCATATTGTTGTCGCTGTGTTTTTGATTGCTGTTTAAGTTGCTGTGAAAGTTTATATCTTTGTAATCCTTGAAGGACTGACAAAACAGCACTGATTCTACTCATTCTTGTTTGTATTATTAATCTGTATCAGTATTGCCATTATTGTTATTTTAATGTTTATCATTATTATAGTAGTTGTTTTTATTAGAATGATTAGTTGTATTGAAACTGCTGATTAGTCCTGGTGTCCTTTAGCTTTTTAATCAACATTGATAATACCTGTTCAGTGAGTTTGTATGTTTAGCAGCTCAAACCTTCCATTGTCAGATATTTTACGACAAATATAATTACATCTGTTTGTCTATATGTTGTTACAGAGGTAACTCGTATTGTGTAAAGCAGCTTGACCTCTGTTGTTGACCAGTTTGAGGAAACAGAATGTGCTTACTATCTTGTACAGTATGGTTTTATTGTTTTCATGACATTTCAATCATGTCAGTGATTTTGTCTACAATGTAGTGCTGTTTTTCTGTTTCCAATTTCATGGACTTTATTTAATAAAGTGGTCAGTGCTACAGTAAGAGAAGAAGTTACTAATGTATTCACATTAGTAACTTCTTCTCTAAAGACTTTGAGGAAAAGACAAAGCATTCTCACACAAGTATACTTTTGATATAATAATCTATATTTAATTGAAAACAATATGTCCAGTAACGTGAATACATTACATGAATTATGCTGCATTCTTCAACGGCTTCAAGAGGTATTACAAAAAACTGTTTATTCAAATCTGAAATGGTTAATATCACATGGAATAGTACAGATGATATCAACAGTCTCTGCAACATTTTCTTTGAATGAAGTGAGCTGTATTGTGGACTCCTCCTGTAGACTGCTGCAAATCCCCAAAATCGTGACTGCGACTTCATTGTTTCTGGTAGTAGGGGACTACGTTCACGCCCCTCCCTGTAATCATATACAAAGAAAATTGCATTGCAGCCGTTTTTTTTGTTTATATTTCGGAGAAGTTTTAGGAGTACATTAAATATTATATGAAAATCATTTCCTATCATTAAAGAAATGTCTAATAACAACTCTCACATTTTAATTCTCAAATGTAATTACAATTGAATTTGCCATCTTACACCTTCAGAGGGGCAAACCCCACACATCACAAAGAAAATGAAGTTAAAATAAAAATCATAAAATCACCTTTGTGCGTGCAGTAAATAGTGGTACTCGGTATACAGACACATTCATTAACAAAAGAAACCAGTCAAAAAAGGGACAAGGTCTATGTTCTATATTCACCACATCAGGGAACTAAGTGAAGAGTGAGTGTGATCGATATTTGGTAAATATGTGATCAATTCAACATCTGTGTGATGGTGCATACAACGCAGTTGGATCACAAGAGGGAGCCACTCCCCAAGCCTGCGTTGCTCATTCATAAAAACATCACCGCCCTGACAACACACTGCACTAGGCCACTAGAGGGTGCGCACTTTAGACCAAAAACAGCTACACTTCTAAACTTGATTTGCACTTTGCGTAGCAGAGGATGAATCTCGCTACATGCATTTGTCAAATAAAGTACCTTTACCTTTGCCTGGGGTGGAAGCTTGTACAACATATAATAAAAAGTACACACACGTGCACACATAACATGTTTATTTACAAAAATCTGCAAAATACAACAAATTAAAACGCTGCAGGAGTTTAAGCTCAGGTCACACTGAGGAGAGCTGCCACCATCCAATCCAGGACCAACACCACAATCTCTGAAGGTGTAAAAAAAAAAAAAAAAAAAAAAAAAGGTCATCTCAGAATTAGTATATTTACATCTAGCTATTTGCACATACTATGGGCTATATGCTGGATATTCAATGATCACTAACCTCTCACTGGGCTTACTGCTTTGTATCTCTTCCAGGGGTACAGTAACATGCAGAGTCACTGAAATTCAGATTAACCATGATGACATGAGATCACAATAGGAACTTTCTGAATAAGAATATTTCCATTACCTTACTGGCTGTTGCTCTCTGCATCGTCTCTTTTTACAGAAAAACAGAGATAAGCCTACTACTAGTAGGCATACTAAACCTGGGGAATCAAGAGATAAATATTTAAGATGACTATCAATACAAAGTAAGTGCAACACATCATAAAATGTTGATCTCACCTGATTGTCAGCGTTAGAAAGACAAACATTTTAGCCCTTAGCGAAAGAAAGACGAGGGCAGAGTAAAAGCAAGTCAGATTAGTAGCAAAAGGTGTTATTTTCATAACATAACATATCATGGCATACATGGGTGATGTGGAAGGGGAAAGAAAGATTTTCCACAGGCCACTGTTGACAGCTGATTATCCAGAATCAGAAGAAACATGGTGTAACCAGGACTTACAAACAACTCCACCAACAATGCTTTCAAGTTTTGCATTTTCCATGTGCATATCTGTGGCAACAGGTGGTGACACAACAGAGGAAAGAAGAAACACACCATCAATGGTCAGTCAAAACAGTGAGCAGCAGCATGATGTAAAGTGTATGCAGGAAAAGCTTACCTCTGTTAAAATCACAAATCTTGCTGTGGACTAGTTGAGAAAACAAGAGAAGTGTAAATTGTTATTAGATGCAAAAGCATCATACAAAACAGCAGAAGAGATCTCACATTCATGTAATGTGGCTATTAATTTAGGAAAATGTGCTGGTCTGGACATTTTAATTTATCATCAGTGTGAACACTTCAGTCAATTAACTTACAGTGCATATTCAACAGAAACATTTTATCAGCAATAAATATAAGTCTAGTTTGGCATCAAGGCTGTTACTTTTTATAAACAGAGAGATTCAACAGCTTAAAACTGGATGGTGATTTTTTTTTTTTGCAGTCTGCAGTGATGGAATTTCCATTTCCAACATGAAAGACATTAACAAACAGCACGCTGAGCTGGAGTAGACAAAAAGGAGGGTATAAATGAGGCAGTCTCCCCATCTCAATGAGTTACACAAGCAGAATATTTGTTATAGTATAGTTTCTGAACCCAATAAAGTTACATATAAAAAAAACTCCAAACACCGAATCAGAACAGGGATACTAATGTGCATGTAAATACACTAAATCTGTGAAATCAGTTGTTTCCTGGGTCATCAAGTGAAAACGAAAGTTTGAAGAATGTTGTGAATGATTGCAAGAAAACACGAGTGGCCTATGTTAAGGGCTTTAAAAAGTGTATACCTGTGCATTTTTCAGTCTTCATATAACCTGATATTCCTTCAAACTCGCAATCAGCATTTGCATCGGTGGAAACGAACGCCCGGCCATCATGCTGGCAGACAGTACTCGGTGGTGGATGACCGCTGCAATCTGCGATGGGAGTGTGACTGTGGAGAAGCTCGTCATTGCAATACACGCAAGTCACATTAGCGGCACATCCTGGATTCTGGCAGAAAAACACCTGCCAAGTTGTGTGTCCACCTGTAATCAAGCAGTAGGCCTATATCTATGAAATATGTCACATAAACCTTTTTTTATCATGGAGAGTGGTGGTCAAGAGAAGACATAGGGGCCTACCTTGACTTGCTGCAACTGCAAACCACTGAGCGAGCACAGGAGCACACAGCAGAAAGATGTATAGCCCTGTCAAGAAAACAAAAATACAAACTAAAATGAAGACTGTGGTTGACATTGGACACAGTTTGAAGTAAGTTGTCAGAAACCTACCGTTCATGTTATAGATCAGTGCTGGGAGGTATAGGCTATTGTTCCCCCACGCTTCCTGTTGGAGATGTAGTTTACCACTATTAGAAACTTTACAGTAAGAAACATTAGGCTACAGAAATCCAAACTGTTCTCTACCCTGACATCCTCCTGCCATTAGGCTTACTCTTCAGAACCACTCGTTTCTGTTTGACCGTCATTAGCTCATTAAAATGTTCACAGCACACGAGTAGTTATGCCTCAGATGTTCAGTCTATTTGTCTTCCATTTCCCTACTCGAACAGGGTACATGGTTGATACTTTCTCATATGATTATAGTTAACAACAAAAACTACAGCACCACAGAAATGCACTCTCATCCTGCAAGTCACCACACCTGTGACTCACGAGTGAGTAATTGTCTTCAGGAACAAAAACAAAAAGTGTATAACTGAAGAGGTGGCATTTAGTGTTACCGTGGGGAACATGTCTGTTTATTTCAATAAGTGGAGACAATTATCTATGTTGCACGATGTGTGGAAATACTTTCAGTTGTCATTTTATTAGCCGCAATTAGCTCAAACTAACGCATTACGCTAATCATTTTCCTACCGCACCCTAGCAGCTGACCGCGTTCCGCGAGTGTACTGTAATTGTCAATCTTCCTCGTTGATAGCGGCAATCAGTTCACATGGCAGCCATTGACAGCGCTCACAGGTTATACGCTCTGTAGTTAGCAGGTCATGAGATGTGTTTCGCTATATTGACTGATAAAGCATATGCCTGGTAGTCTTTTAATAAACTTACCTGAATAGGCTATATCGAGATCCACGCGTCAGAGAGACCGAAACAGAACCGCAACCTGCGGCGTTTTCTTGCTTTGTTTCGCACTGGGCTTGTGTGTGTGTGTGTGTGTGTGTGTGTGTGTGTGTGTGTGTGTGTGTGTGTGTGTGTGTGTGTGTGTGTGTGTGTGTGTGTGTGTGTGTGTGTGCTGTACCATCCTATCGCCCAGGCCCCGCCTGCGTTTTAGCCACAGTGCCTGATATGGTCTGAATTCAGCTATGAAATGATTTATTTTATTATTATTTATTGAAATGTTTTTAAAAAACAGATTCCAATATTTTTCAATGCTTTCATGCGATGCTTGCCCATATTAATGAAACAGCTGATTACATTATACTGTTGTTACGACCCTTCCGGCTTCCTTTTCCTGCAGGAGGCTGCAGGCAGGGAGGCTGATTGGGCTGGGCAATCACCTGTGCAGCTCTACCTTCAGAGCTTATTTAGCCAGGACTGATCAACCTCTTGCCCTCTCCTCCTAGGCTGACATCCCACTGGGTTTGTCTGGTGTTTCTTCTTTTGTTAATCCTGACAACATACACATCTCACTCATCCATTCACTGCTGACACAACTGATAGTCATACTTTGCCACACCACATATTATTGCTGATCATTTGATTCTTCTTGTACTTTTATAATAAATCATCATGGTGCAAACCTGATGTGTCTCACCTCCTTTTTGCCACGGGCTAAGAGCTGGCTTGTGACACTGTACTTTGCACACTTATGACTTACTTTTGATTGTTAATGTTTAATTTGTTTATTTTATCTACATATTTAATGGGTGATTCATGATAATTTTTTTAAATAGCTTTCATGTAATGTGACCAAGTAGCCCAAAATACATACCAGCAGTGAAGCTTCTTGGATCCCTAAATACACATAAAAAAACTCTTACGCACTTCTAGGTTCTGGCTCTTAAGAAATAGTACTTAGCACTGTGTAGCATCTTAGCCTAGCTATCTTTGTTAGGACATGTTAGGTTCTTCAGTCAGTGCCATTGACCAGACACGGCATTTGATCTGGAGTTGGTCCCCGGGCGCTGTGCAATGGCTGCCCACTGCTCCCTTCAGGGATGGGTTAAATGCAGAGAATGAATTTTGCTGCATCTATGGGTACGTGACAAATTAAGTACATTTACCTTTATCTCAGTCTTGTCATTAACTGCAGAAAGTTTTGGGTCATCTAGCATCTGATGTAATTTTTTTTGCCTACTCGGTAAAATTTTGTGGTCACCAGTGTCAAAGGCTGCATTCAGGTCTAGTAATACTAGAATGAAAGTGTTAGCAGCACTGTTGACATTTGGATCATTGACAGCTTTTAGTTAGTCCTAAAGTCAGACCACATCACATAGATTGTGGAGTTAGCTATGTAGACAACCTTTTCAAGTATTTTGCAAAGAAAAGGGATATTGGAGATTGATCTGTATCTCAGATGGGTTTAAGTTGTTCTTTTTCAGTAATAGTGTAATAATAAAATGCTTGAGGGAAGAGGTGAAGACTCCTGATTGTAACAATAAAAATACATAATGTGACAGTGGAATACATTTGAAAGATTTTGTGGGAACTGGGTCAAGGGAGCAGGTAGAAGAGTTTAGTGGCTGTATCACCTCTTCTGTATCATTAGAGGTAGGTGAAAAAATTATTCATTGTCCCCATGTGGTATGATGATGCGGGGGGAGTGACAGACCAGATCCTATAATATGTGAAAGTGTTATTTCTTTTCCTAATATCAGACTTTTTCTTGGAAGGAGGAGGCAAATTCATGATATTTGATTGGCTAGAGCAGCAATAATGGAGAACAGACATTGAGCATTATTGTGGTTATCTTGTATTATTTTAGAAATGTAGGATTGTCTAGAAAGTGTAATTGTTATAGCTCTTGTATATTTAAGGATTTCAAGGTGAATCAGCAGCTTGGTCTTCTGCCACTAATGCTCAGCCTTCCAGCAGGCTCTCTTTAGCATCCTCATTCTTACCTCATTTTCCAAGGAGCTTTCGGTGTTACAGATACCTTATTGGTTTTTGTGGACACAGGTGATAAACATACCCATTGCATTCTCATGGATAAAAGGCATATTCATTAATGCTGTGCTTAGGGAGCCAGGTCATATTAAAAAAACCTTTGTTCCAGGTCATAAAGGAAACCCAGTACAGCGCAGGTATGTGTGACAGTGAACTAAAATCTTACAATGCTTACAATATCCTTGCTTATTTAACTAATGTCATAAGTCTGTAGATGATAAATCAAATTCAGAGCCCCCAATCCCCCCCTTAATTCGTGGGGGACTCCGGAGTTGTCAGAGAATTATAAGCTTGTCTATTAAACTCAGAGAGACTAAAGAACCAGTTCTCTGCAAACGACGCCACTTCTGGCAAACTATAAACCCAAAGTCCTCCACTCCATAAACGATTCTCACCTGGCAAATGAGCTGAACCAGTTCTACTGCCGCTTTGAGAATCAATCGGACACCATCCCCCGTGACTCCTCTGCTCAGCTTCAGCCACAGTCCACCATTTCTTCCCCTCCCTCCTCAGAGCTGGCCAGCTCCACCCCCTCCCCTCCTCTCTCCATCATAGAGAGGGAAGTCAACGGTCTTTTCAGGAGTCAGAAACCCCGCAAAGCAGCTGGGCGGACTCTGTCTCCCAATCTACCCTGAAGCACTGTGCTGATCAGCTGTCTCCGGTGTTCACAGACATTTTTAACACCTCACTGGAGACATGCCATTTGCCAGCCTGCTTCAAAGCCTCCACTATCATCCCTGTCCCCAAGAAACCAGGGACCACTGGACTAAACGACTACAGACCCGTCGCTCTGACCTCTATGGTTATGAGGTCCTTTGAACGCCTTGTGTTGTCCCACCTAAAATCCATTACAGACTGACTCCTGGACCCCCTGCAGTTCGCCTACAGAGCCAACAGGTCTGTAGACGATGCATTAAACATGGCCCTTCACTACATCATCCAGCACTTGGACTCCCCAGGAACCTACGCCAGGATCCTGTTTGTGGATTTCAGCTCTGCTTTTAACACCATCATCCCGGCCCTGCTGCAGGACAAGTTCTCTCAGCTGAACGTACCTGACTCCACCTGCAGGTGGATCACTGACTTCCTGACGGACAGGAAGCAGCACGTGAAGCCGATTCCAGGACCATCAGTACCGGTTCCCCTCAAGGCTGCGTTCTTTCCCCCATTCTCTTATCCCTGTACACCAGCAACTGCACCTCCAGTCACCAGTCTGTCAAGCTCCTGAAGTTTGCGGATGACACCACCCTCATTGGGCTCATCGCAGGTGGGAGATCAACCATCTGGTGACCTGATGCAGCCAGAACATTCTGGAGCTCAACGATCTGAAGACCGTTGAGATGGTCGTGGACTTCAGAAAGAGCACAGCCCCACCCTCCCCCATCATCCTGTGTGACTCCCCAGTCACCACTGTGGACTCCTTCCACTTCCTGGGCACCTTCATCTCCCAGGACCTCAAGTGGAAGCTGAACATCACCTCCCTCACCAAGAAGGCCCAGCAGAGGATGTACTTCCTGCGACAGCTGAAGAAGTTCAGCCTGCGAAAGACAATGATGGTGCACTTCTACACTGCCATCACTGAGTCCATCCTCACCTCCTCCATCACCACCTGGTACGCTGCTGCCACTGCCAGGGACAAGGGCAGGCTGCAGTGCATCATTCGCTCTGCAGAGAAGGTGATTGGCTGCAATCTTCCTTCTCTTCTGGACCTGTACGCCTTGAGGACTCTGAAGCGAGCAGGAAAGATTGCTGCTGACTCCTCCCAACCCGGACACAAACTGTTTCAGACTCTCCCCTCTGGCAGGAGGCTGCGGTCCATCAGGACCAAAACCTTTCGCCACAAAAACAGTTTCTTCCCGCCTGCAACTAGCCTCATTATCAAGGCCCGGGTCCCCTACCTTGCAAATGATACAAATGTCTCTGCACATGTAAATACTGTTTCATCTCGTGTCAGGCACAGACCTGGCATGTCGCACATATTTGTTGTTGATTTTTGATCTTTGTTGTATATTTTTATGTTGTCAGTTTATATATTTATATGTACACAATATTCTCTTCCGTTGTGTTACTTCTGCACGACACAGACCCAGAATAGCGCACATGTATATATCTGCAACGTTGTTCTTCTATTCCATATTAATATATTTCTACATTTATTTATGTTGACTGTATGTTTGTCCACGTGTAGCACCTTATCACCACAGCAAATTCCTCGTATGTATAAAATACTACTTGGCAATAAAGCTCCTTCTTATTCTTCTGATTCTGATTCTGATATACCGTATTTAAGTCTGCTTAAGCCTTTACATGGTCGCATGAGTCATTTGTCTTCCCATTCCATAATTACCATCTACAAACATAGTCATGTAACTTTTAGGACTCTCTGGGTACCTGGGGATTGTAAATTGCTTCACTATATGTTTTTGTGTTTTTCATGTTATGTTTACATGTTCCAGAAGTTAGATAGTGATGACACAGGATAAAAGCTGCATGTGCATCCCTTAGATGACACGCTGATGATTGTGTCCCAGTGAGTTCCTTCTGCAGGTGACTTGAATACATTTCATAGAAAGACAAGGGTTTGAATCAAAATTGCCATGAGAAGCCTTCCTTTTGTAGCAGACTCCACCTTCACCCCACCCTCCTGTCTGATTCCCATACATGTGGCTGAGGCTAACTGGCTGGATCAGTGATCTGGATCAATTTTCTGCAAAGCAGTTTGGAGTTAAAACTTAAACAATAACTGAATTATAGCATGAACACAATACAATTTTTAAGCAAACACCTGAGATCCCAGCATGCATTTTTGACTTAAATCTCTCCAAGCTGAGCATATGTGGCTATAATATGTGCAAAAGACATGAAGATTTCCCAATGAGTTGCCTTCAGCAGGCCCAAACTTTGTAGAGAATGACTTGAATGTCACCAAAGTAGAGAAGAAAAGAAAGTCTTTGAAGGGAAAATATGGCAGGAAATGTGTGTGGGCGGGTGGCGAGGGAGTTTGAAATGATAATGTTCCTTGGCTTTAATAAAACAGTGGTAATTTACTTTTTTTTTAAAAGGCAGATATTTTCTAAAAACATAATTCAGAAAAGCTGTTGCATGTGAGTTATGGCATGAACTGACACAATTTCTAAGGCAACACAAGACCCCTGCATTGACTTTTGCGTTATAAACCCCTCCACTCAAAAATAATGTACATAAGATATGAAATGGCTTACCAGGGATTATTATGATCAAATTTACAGTTGGTTGGTCTAAGAAATCTGGGTGCAAACTGAGTTTAACAAAATTGTATCAAAGGGTAAAGCAAGTTATGGAAGTAAGTGTGTGTATGTCAAAAATAGTAGCTTTATTACAGTAATAATTTGTTATTGTTTTGAGCTCTGTGTGTTTTGCATTTAGTTCAAATGTCACATCTTGTGAAGGAAGTGACTTGAAGCAATGTCAAATTTCAGTTTATGGAACCTTTTCCTAAGAAAGAACATCATCACTTGTAACAGCAGAAAACAAAAACAATTCGACGCTGTAAGGAGAAGTTTTCACTGTGTTCACATGAAAAATGAACATCACCTGTGCAGCCAATGACGTCATCCTGCTGCTTCCTCTTACTGTGTTTTTTTCCCTTGTTGTCTGGCATGACAAGTTGTACCAGACACAGTTCAGCACAAACAGAAATAATAGATTTTATACAACAACACTGATTTATATTTATATTGTGAGAGATTGTCTTTAGAGATTTAGGAATCCTTTAATATCTTTGATGTGGAAAAATCATTAGCAAAAAAAAAGTCTGTATTTAAAAGAGGGAATAAAAAGAATGTCCGTTGCTGTTGTTTTTCTTGTTGCCAGCATTTTAAGAAGGGCTGGAGAAGGGTTTGATGAGACCAAGTTCCATCGCTTTGACCAGGCACATTCGTGATACATCGATACCCTCCTGCCTCTTGGGATTGTCCTCCGCCTTGCCAATCACTGAGAGGATTTCCAGCATCTCACTCTCAATCAGCTTCTTGCCCAGCTCACTGTTGTCTGAGTCGAGCATGTTGTAGATAATCACAAGGGCACGGTGCTGTATCTTAGGGTTAGTGTGGAGACACATTCTCTGCAGGATCTCTAGCCACTGGGTGGTCTGTTGGGAGAGAGCAATCACTCACTCAGTAAAACTCTGGTAAAATGTGTGAATGATGAATCAAAAATGTCACATGTTGCTTTTCTGTGTCTTAAAATGAGTGGTTAAGTAAGTTGGTGTGTGTATAATTCGGCACTTATTCTTTCATTTTAAGGGAATCTCCTCTGTTTTACACATGATCATTCAGGGTGTAAAACAAAGTCCTCTGAGTAATACTAATACTAATGTATCTCAGCTTGGGCTTCAAATTGACAAATGTGTGGCATTACAAGGCAGGGATGGTAATGAAAATATGCTAGTAATTATTAGTACCATAATGAGTTTGTAATCTCATAGTTATTCCAAATTTAACTCTCTTTTTTATTACAAATGTATTAACTAAAATGTGAAATGCATTCAGTGGCACAAAGAGTGACACATGACACACCAAGGTGCATTTTGTCTACACAATGCATATCTTGCAACAAACATAGATATTGCTATGTATGTATGTCCCAAATACAAGAACCAGGCAGCTATAGCTTATTTTTTCCCTCTGGCATCAAATTCAACTCGGACACATGCTCCCTGATTAATTAATCTTCTACAGTAAAAACACTACTGAATGCTGCTGTACATACCACCAGGGTCAGTTTGGTGCAGAGCTTCTTCTGAGAAGCAGTGAGCATGGCCAGAGCTCCAGCTGCAGCTAACTGAAGTTTCTCATCATCCTCTCCACATAGCAGCACCAGCAGCTTCAACTTATCATTGCCATCTTGGAGGTAACGATCTTGGACCTAAAACATACAGTTTTATGTAATTATATATTTTACATTTAATTTTCACACCTGTTGGAAAACACATGTTGACTATGCGGCATCCGTTTGTTACGTGAGATTTTAACTGCTTGTCTGTTCTCACCTCTTTACATGTAACAAGATTGCACATGCATTCAGTGGCAGCCTGTCTGATCTGGTCATTCTCCTCAAACATGTAGTTCTCAATCTCTGGTAGAGCTTTCTCTTTCACGATCTTTACTCTACAAAACAGATGATGGTAAAGGTGAAAAACAACAATGAGGCAAAACCTTACCAAAAAAGCAAGCAGCTGTAAAGTCACTAGTAGTAAATGAGCTATTAAGCACCACTGCGATCATAATATTATGTTGTCTTGAAAAATGTTACCTTAATTTTTCACTGTAACCAGCCAAGTTGGTGAGGCCTCTCAGAGCTTCATAGTTCTGCGTTCCATCTCTGTCTGTGCTAAGTAGATTAACTAAAGGCCGCACCACCTCATACACCTGTCAACCAAGACAGAGAAGTGAATTTTCAATAGTCCTTTGAGATGCATACTAAATTCTGCAAAAGAGGAACTAACAAGATACCACTCACAGAACCAACAAGACTAACACAGCACTTAATACATTGTCCATTAACTCCCAGCATATAAAGACAAAGAAATATAGGCAAAGGGAGGCAATGTCAAAAGTGTGTCATGGGGAGATTAGGAAGAAAATTACCATTCCTCTTCCTTCATTATCATCTCAAGAATCAAAGAATCATAGAAATAAACAAATAAATACTGTTGCATGGCTTACCCTCTCACCAGGGAAGGCGATTTCTGGGTTGGAAATAGCTGCAATCTTGGCAAGGGCGTGGCCGGCCTTCACCTTCCCGGCATCTGTCCCTTCCAGAGCAAGTGGTATCAAAGCCTGAGGGCACAGCCAGAAGAACAGTAGTGAACAACTGGGCATGTTTTGCAACCTTTTTTTTTACAGTTAATGTTTGTCCTTTCATTTCATTGTGACTTCATAAAGATGTTTAATGATTCACTCATACATTGATTTCCAAAGCTATCACGCACCTTTCCCCCTCCTTGGGCAACAATAGTACCACGATCTCTGGGATCCTCTGACAATGCCAAGAAAACCCTAAAGATAAAAGATTGAAAATAGATTTGTAAAACTGCCAGCACACTACAGGGCTCCAGTGTCCAAGTATTTATTGCACTTTGTCACAATAAAAAAGTGCATAATAAATAAACATGTGCCCTCTTTTGGTTTGGATGTGCATGCATTCTATTTAGAAAAGTGATTCAACAATCATATATGTCTAAGCAATGTTAGAAATTTAAGGAGGAATGAACAAGAAATTGGATGTACTCAGTAAAGTGTTTTAGCTTGGATTCCCTCTTCCCTAAATGTAAATTTAAGTCATTGTCTGTGAGGAATGACTAATGCAGTGTATCAAAGCAGGGATGAGTCGGGTGTTTTGGGGGGCAATTTGAAGACAATTAAAAAGTCTCATAATGACTTTGCTATGAGATGCTTCCTCTTCTCTCTCACCTTGACAGCATTTCCTTGGTCTGGTCTGTCAATATGGAGTTGTCTGCTTTGACCATGACAGCAAGAGCTGATGTGACTCCAGCTTTAAGCAGCCTTTTCACTCTCTTCTCAATAAAGTCCTTCTTGTCCTGAGAAAAGAAAGTATATGACGTGTGTATAAACTGCAAATGCGTTACATTTCCTGTTGTACCTACGTCAATTCATATATTGTGGTCTGCATAATAGTTCCCTTTCATCTCTATTTTTACCTTGGGGTGCTGCTCAGGAACATGTTGTTTTGAGAACTTGGCCAGTTGAACCAGCTCAGGTATAATTTCCTTTTTCTCATAGCAGTTGGTGCAATTAACCAGGGTGCAAGCTACTGCATACAAAACTGTCTTATCCTTGGACTAAAAACACAGAGAAAGGAGAGAGGTTATTTCTAATGTCTAATCAGATATACTGTCTGTATGTTTCTTTCTGTCTGTTATTGTCATACCTTAGCCAGTTCAAACATGGCTTTCATGGCAAGCTCATCCTCAACAAAGTCATCTTTCACATCAGCATCATTTGTCAGATAAGCAAGACCCTCTATAGCCCACTTCCTTGTTTTGGTATCAATTTGGGGATTGCAGAGCCACCTAAAAGAGTAAAAAAGGGAATATTTAACAGAAAGTGTATTTAGTGATGACGTGAAGTAGAGGTGCATGGTACAGTGCCATTCTGGTACTGTATACCATTGTAAGGAATTATATCTGTACACCATTTTGCATCAAATCAGATCATAACTAATTAGGTTTTGGATTTGGAATGGAAATAAGCCTTTATTGCGTTTTTATCCTTTTGATGTTTTTTGTAGTTGGGGCATTTCTTGCTAGAACCGCCACTTTCATATAACAATCAATAAAGAAGTTCAATCAATCAATCAAAGCACAGTCACATTATCAATCTCTGCGTGAGTACTCACTTTCTGCACTGCTTGGCCAGCTTCTCTGTGGAGCCCTCAGCAAACTGCCTTAAACTGTAATCATCACCTCCAGCTGAACCCAGTTTACAGAGACCCTAGAGGGGACATGGACATGCAAACACACACAGACAAAATCTAGCAGTTGTGTAGTTTTGTCTTTACTGTATTTTAGACCTGTGTTTGAATAATAAATTTCTACTCTATTCTATTATTTCCTAGTCACACTCACCACTAGCGCACGTATCTTAATCCTCTCGTTCTTGGTCTTCTTGTAGATGTCCTTAAGCAGGGACACACCATTGGTGATGATGAAGCTGGCACGGCTCATTTTTGAGGAGGAATGGATCAGCGCCTCCACAGCAACCATTTGGTCCACCTCACGTTCTGAGCCACACAGCGCAACCATCATCTCCATTATGCCTTGATGTCCAACCAGGGCGTTACCGACATCAAAGGGACCCTGAAGTAGCCCTGAGATGGTGTTGATAGCATGGATGGTCTTGTCCATGTCATTGGGGTCAATTTTAGATCTGTTGAAAAGGAAAAGAAAAAAGCGTAAGAGATGAAATAGGTATTGTTGGCTTGGCCTCTATTTAGAAAGTCTTGGCCACAACACTGGTAAATGGATGATCTGCATTGCATAGACGCACTTGATATATTCATTACAGATGTCCTTGAAGTTGTCTCTCTCTGGGTCACACTTGAGGTCATCATAGATTTTGTTGAGGAGCACACTGGCAATCAGCTGTGTATTGTCTGTTAAGGGCAGCTGATCTGGCAGTTCGGGAACCTGACCACACACCTTGAGGATCTTCTTTAGACCTGAAGAACAAACACATGTATATGCATATACAGATACCTCATGTCAAGAAGACTTGAATGCAGCAATGACCTAGAAACAAAATAGGCGACAAGATGCCGATGTCAGGCTCACCGTGGTCAATAGTGAAGAGGGCCTTGGAATTGTCTTGGTCTTTCTTGTCTTTGCGAGGTACATTCTTGCAGAGGAGGTTCAGCGCCTGGTCTCTGCCATGGCCAGACACCTTTTTACTAGCAATCATCTCCAGCAGAGAGAGAAGAATGGTTTTCAGGTCTTTTGATGCATCTGCAGACAGACAGATTATAAAAAAGATTGTATGTCGCAATCAGTTGTGAAAAAAATACCAACAGCAGCATAGGTAATATCTGTGATCCTGTAGAGACTAGTTGAAGATCAAAATTTAAGGAATAAGTGTCCATAATAAAATCTGCTTTTGGTTACAGATGCAGATGATGATTCTGTCTCACCCAAAACCAAGGCCTCTTCTTTCCCGTATTCCCTCTTATCTCCACCAGTGAGGGAGTCATTGATGCACTGGAAGAGGTTGCAGGTTGCCAGTGCGATCTCCTCATTGTCAATGGCCATGATGCTGCACATCTTATCAACGCCCACCATGTGAATAATGGCCATGGTCTGTTCAGGAGTAATGATAAGAAATATACATTAAGTACATTTTATGAAGAAAAAAAATGCTAATAAAATGAAACTTGTTTCTAATGGCATCATATCGGTGGAAGTTAGTTAAGGGGACAGAGATCTGGAACAAGTTACTGGATCTCCAACTTTACCCCAGTTTTAAGAACCAACTCTAACAATTGCTCAAGACACATCAAATTTGTGACCACTAACGGACTCTGTTGTATTGTATGTATATGTGTGTGTTTACAGTACTAGATGCAGCACTTCACTGCAATAAATAGCAGTTTAAATTACACAACCCTGTCTACAAAACTGTGGTGTCTTTTACAATATGATGTTGAAAATTGTGGTGACTCTTAAATTGTGTTGTATCATATATCTAATTTAATGTTTAGCTGTGTTACCTTGTACTTTGATGACCTGCATGGGGGCTAGACATGTAAAATAGCCTTTGGGCTAATTTTGGCATATTTACATTGCTGAAAAACTAAGGAGTCCATTAATATGCACTGTCCTTTTTAAATAAATAAAAATAAGATGTTATACTTTTAAAGTTTGTTGAGTTTGGAAAAGGCTACACATTGCCTTAGTGACACAGTTTTCATCACTAACCACAACTCTTCGATTTTCACTTTCCCTTGTATTGACTCATATTCTACAAGATTGCTCACCCGAGCTTTGTGTCCTGTGCACATTCCTGACAAAGTACGAACGGCAGCTAGAATCATCTCTGGTTTGCCTGTCTCTATCATGTTGAGCAGCAGAGGCACTCCGTTGTTCTGAAAGATTCTCTCTGCTCCAGCGTCCTCTCTGGACAGCACAATCAGGTTGTTGGCAGCCTAGACATAATGGGTTAAAATTGCAGATGTGAAACCAATAACTCTATTCATTCATATGCTAACAAACAACAAAAACAGGAAGGTGTCTCTGGGGTTTTGCTTCACATTACAGAAAATACCCACCTTTTCCTTCTTTTCCTTTTCCATTTCGTCATCAAGGAGAATATCAAACATGTTCTGTACCCTCGAATCTGTGGAGAATGTTGTCTTGAGCTGGGGAGAATCAAAACAAAACTTACTCATAATTTCCTGATGCTGACATTTCCCAATCATATACATTTTGTTTGTAGTTCAGTGTAAGTCTATCTGTCAGTTTACCTTAGTATCAAAATACATTTATTTATAATGATACAACAAAAGTTTTAAGCCAAAAGATCCCTGTTGAATACATGTAGCAGTGTTGATTTTATGTTGCTGAAAGCATTTATAAAGTGATTATTGTAGTCTTGCACTCTCCTGCATGCACTTATCTGTGGGAGTGTATTGTTATTGTTTAATGCTGACCTTGGCCTGGATCTCTGCTCCCAGCCTGCGGAGAGTCTCCAGGAAGGTCTTGTTCTTTGGTTCGATGGTGGCACATCTCTGCACATCTTTGAAAGCCATGTCCAGTTTTCCTAGCTTCTCCAGAGCTTGGCAACGCCGGTACAAGGCTTTAATATCTGCTGCATCAACATCAATTGCTACATAAGGGAAAGAAAGAGTCATAATGATCTTGTGGCCTTCGGTTTAGGTTAATGTTTTTTTTTCATTGTTGCTATTGTTTGGTTTGATTTTGTAATTAATATTGGTTAAATGTCAGTTCTTATTACTCTACCTTTAGATGCATCAGAAGCTGCATTGGCATAGTTTTCCTGTATGAAAAACATAAACATCGTCTAAATTTGCCACTAAAAATTGCAAATATAATATATTCGGTGTATATTTGTTTTTGTGCTTTATCAAACTGCTTACCTTTTTTAGGTAGCATGCAGATCTGTTCCTGTGAATGACAGCAAGCACTTTTTTGTCCTTGCACACCTTGATGGCTTCAGTGTAGCACTGAATGGCCTTGTCGATATCTCCTGCCTGGAAGAATTTGTTCCCGTCGTCTTTTAACTGAATTGGGTCTCCCATCTGATAGAAAAAGAGAATGTCAGCAATGACATATAAAATCTCCAACCTGTTCTTCAACACTTATGTTTAATCACTTCTTGTGTCTGACAGTTCACCATCCAAAGCACAATTTAACAATTTCAGTGTCATCACAAAGGTAATTGCAGTATTTTAACTGTAATAAAACCACTAAACCTTCATTCAATCACGTAAAAATTCTGGATACAAACAAAAATTTCAAATAAACTAAACATTAACTTTTAATTTGATCAGTTTTACACTTTTTGTCATTTCAAACAATATAGAGAATTAGAAATATATAAGCAGTTCATCCATATAGATGTACAGCACAGAATGGACAGTACCCTGGAGAATAGTTATCAGCATAGTGCCATTATTTAAAACTACAGTGTGTAGCATTAGAAATGTTTTTATTCTCACCATTTTTACTAATCAGTATCCTGCTGACCTGGGTCTCCTTTAGCAAATGGCCAAGCATGTGCTAGCTCTAACTTTAAATGGCTTCCCCTCAGGCCTTATTTGGGCATGTTCTCATACCCCTGTCAAAGCCTTGCAACAAATGCCACTTTCCCACTAGACACCACATCCTCCTGTCCCCCGATAGGCATGGTTTATCTACCCTCTGCATCCCTGAATGTCACTCAAATTAAAAAACAACAACGGTACAGTACCTTTAGGGTGGGTTGTGTGTCTTGCTCTGCGTAGATGGTCTGGACCTCCAGTCCGTAGTGCTTGTGACAAACTTTTTCTGTCTTATGTAATCTTCCCCCACTCCTCAGTATATATTTATAGTGGATCTCAATGAGGTGGGACAGAGCCAAGATGGACCATCCATTACACATAGGGGTTCACTCCAAGCACACCATAACCCCAAAGAACAGCTTTGTACCAAAAGTCACAATAAACCAAGATTACTTGTGTTGCACCAAATGTCCTTCTGGGATCTTTGAATTATCCAAAGCTTGATGAGTAAAACAGTTATTTTCCATTCAATAAATTCTGTGAGAGTGACCCCCTCAAAGGTGGTCTGCTCCTGATAAGGTCTATTTAGGGCACAGACAGCTGAGAACTCACCAGCAAATGCCTGATGCCAAAGTGGCGAGAGGGGGGTTTAAAAGATTGTGTGTGCATGGAGACAGTTGGGGGGGGGGTAACAGCTGTAGGACCACATAGGAACCTGGTAGCTTCTGGAAAGAGAATGATCTCGAAAACCCTTAGAGCTGGGGTTAGGCATTTTGTTTTTGATGGTTAGGGTAAAGGTCAGGGATAAGATAATGTATTATATACAAGTAAGGGTACAAGTAAAAATTGGTATGTGTTTGTGTTTGTTGTAAGTTTTTGTGTGAATACGATACAAGAGAACGAACCGATACTGTGGTGAACTGGTGAATTGCTTGGGGTGTTTGTATGTCTTCTTCCCAGTGCATGCAGGGATTGCAGACCCACAGTGATTGTAAATACGAATAAGCATGTGGACATTAATGATTACATGCAGGCCTACAGGCGATGATTGGGCGATATCGGTTCAGATGGGCCAGATAACTCTTCAAATGTATTGCTTTGTTTATTGCCACATGCAGACACAGGTTTCACACTGAACAGAAACATGCTGTTAATCTAAAATGATCATGGATCAAGGCTTTTATACTGTCTTCAACAATTTGCTGCCTTGACTAATTTTTTTGCATGTTCAAACACCTTCTTGCATGCATGAGTGTGAACAAATAAACACAAACATTTATGATCTGACAATGGTTTAATTGTTTGTTGCGCTGGCTGCTCATCTGGCTAATTGCCAAGATTTCTCGTTAGGTTTCATTGGTTGAAACAAGTAGGAGCCAAAAACATTTGGTTGGATGAGGAGATATTTTAAAGTTGTTAATCCTATACTTATGCCACTTCAAAGAACAAAGCTGCTTGTTCCTGTGTGTTCAAAGACAGTAAGTGTCATTAAGTGTCGCTGGAGATTTACAAAGGTATAAAGGCTTCCTTGTGTAATGGCCTACATAAAATGTATGAAATTTTATTAAGTAAACATACAATGTTGGGTATTTTGCCTGTGGCCAGTTTTATTTAAAGAGGTGGTATTATGCTAATTTTCAGGTTCAAAATCTTAATTAGGGGTTGTACCAGAACAGGTTTACATGGTTTAATTTTCAAAAAACACCATATTTTTCCTCATACTGCACATTGCTGCAGTTCCTCTTTTCACCCTGTGTTGTACGCTCCGCTCTTGAGCTACAGAGTGATGCATCTTACTTGTACAAAATCTTTGTTGGGAGTTGCACAAGCACAGTTCCCAGGTAAGGACTACTGGCCAATCAGAAGCAGAGAAGGGCGGGTCGTAAGAAACAAGGTAGTGTGATCCAAATCAAAGCCGCTTCAGACTGAGACCGTAACCTAGCAGATGATGTAAGTTACTCGAGTCCACAGCATCATTGTTCCACATCTTACCATCAGGACGAAACGTTGAACTGTTGCCGGTGTTACTCGGCCCTGCTCCGTTTTCCGTTGCAGACAGTACCCAGAGATGGTACGTAGCTTGTTGTCATAGCAACGCCACACACAATTGCCGCGACGTAATGTTCAATGCGACACACACACACCAGCTTTTAAAATATATCTACGGTTAAAACGTTTCAACATTACTCAGAATGTAAAGACAGATAAGCGGTATGAAAACCTTCCAGCTGTGTTTTCCTCTGTTGTTGCTGCAGCGGTCTGTGTGACGGCGGGAGCAGAGGGCTCTGTGAGCGGGCGGCTGGCCGGCCTCACACGCTCCTCCCGCGGGTTGGCACAGGCTTCCCCCGCAGCCACGTGCGGAGCTCCTCAACTCCGACAATATTCAAGCATTTTTGTTTCGCCATCGCTTCTGGTAAAACTGTCAATATTCGAAATCTACACAGCTGATTTCTCACCTCAAAACTTCTCAGAAGTGGATTTAGTGATAAAACTGTAAAACTTTCTGTTGCTGGCCTGTCTGGTGCAGCAATGATGATGCAGTGAATAGTGAATGTTCTCACTGACCAATCAGCAGTCTGTCGTGTTTTCACGTTACATTTTAGTTTCCCTCAGCTCGTCTGGAACTTCGACGGAGGTGAGGTGATACGAAAAAAAAGTACCTGGAAGCAGGTACAGCTTTTCTACAATGGAAAACCAAACCAAGGCGAGTGGGCAAAGGGCCTCCGCTCAGACTAGCTTGGTTTGAGGGCGTGCCTGACCCCGCTAGCCGCTTGGCAAGCTTTATGACGTGTTTTCATTGTGACGTCACAAGTAAAGGAAGTGAAGGGCTGGACTACAAACGAGCTGTTTTCAAGCGGTTCTGAGCTGAGTTTTCTGTGGGAGATGGGAACTCCCTTTGGGCTTGTTCACTTTGCAAACCTATTACATGCACAAAAAGATATATAACTCAATAAAGGAGAGGGGAAAGGCCAAAAAGCATAATACCACCTCTTTAATATATATTTTACATATTCTATGTATTAAAGTCCCTAAATATATTTGTATGTGATGTGTATAAATACATGCCATAAAAATGAAGAACATGCGAGATACACAAAAACTGTCAAAAGTCAACATATGGTGAAATAAAAGCCAAATGAACAATAAAATATGTTTAATATGATTAACCACTTTTACGGTTTTGAAGAGGTGTTTGTTTTTTATAACTGTGATTGCTTTCTGACTTCACAGACTTTGTGTGTGTACTTGTTCTCACATGCATCACACCCTACCTGGTGAAGCTCATTCCTGGCAGGTGAAACAAAGTGGCAGGCAACACCTAGTGTCACTGAAGTAGCACATGTCTGTCTGCAGCCATCTCAGTGACAAGGATTGAAAGGCATAGGAAGGAATTCACATCTATAAGTGCCATTGCCCACTGTGTTTCAGTTAGCCTCTGCTTAGCCCACTTTGTGTTTTGGTATTTTACTGTATCATTTAACTTCTTTCCCAGTCCTGCTCCTCACTACCACTCTTCTCTTACCAGGAAGTAAGGACAGTGAAGTTTCTGTGTGTTATGTATGTTCTTCATATTTTGTCAATGATTTCATACACTGAACAAAATTATAAACACAACACTTTTGTTTTTGCCCCATTCATCATGAGCTGAACTCAAAGATGTAAGACTTTCTCTATGTACACAAAAGGTCTATTTCTGTCAAATATTGTTCACAAATCTGTCAAAATCTGCGTTAGTGAGCACTCCTTTGCCGACATAATCCATTCACCTCACAGGTGAATGAGAAAGTCTTATATTTGAGTTCAGCTCATGATGAATGGGGGCAAAAACAAAAGGGTTGCGTTTATAATTTTGTTCAGTGTACATCAGGTATGACTACAATGATGTCATACACACACACACACACAGTTCCATGCACAAACACACACACACACACAAATGTATAGCAATAATAAGCTTGAGCAGTCTCTGTCAAGGGAATACTATAAGGTAGTACCAAATCAGTACAAATATGTACTGGAGGGGGGAAAGAGCTGTTCTTAGAGCTTGGGCTGCATCCTATGCTATGAGACTTTTAAACTCAAATACTCAGCAGTACTCCATTGAACACAGATCATTTCTGTCAACCATTTCATGATTGCTTTTGTATGCCTGTATGCCTGTTGTGATGTGACAAATAAACAAATCTTCTGCCTTCTATCCTATGTGGAACTTTAGAGCTTCTGTGCCACCAGGTGGCACTACAGAGTGAGTGACAATTGTACATTACTAAAGTGGGATTAGGGTGCCACAGTGGTGGAAGAAATATAACTACTTCTTTCTCAAGAAGAAGTATTATCAGCAAATTGTATTATTTGCATTTATTAATACTTATGTGTTGTTAGAACTTTAATTATGCAGTTGATCAAAATGGATTTAAAAAAGTACTTTACAAACTGTTGGGTAGTTTTATAACAATGCATATTTTATGGGTTACATTTTTCAAGGTACAATGGACAAGGTCTATTAATCATTATACAACACAAGGATGTATAAAGAAAAGACAGTTTGAAGTCCTTCATGCTACACACACAGAACTTCAGATAATTAAATGTACATTATAATATAAATAAATCAAAGAAAAGAAAACCATATATATTCAGTTATTTATATAGCCTACATATATACATACACTTATACACCCAGAACATTCCACTGTGCATTTTTTAATCATAATTACAATTAAGACATAATTATACCTGTTGAGTAAATGTAGCAGAGTAAAAAGTGCATTACAATATTTCCATCTAAAGTGAAGAATAAGTAGGCACACATTGTGTATGCATGTATGTATGTATGTATGTATATATGGATTGTGAATGCTCAATAATAATAATAATAATAATTATTATTATACTGCAGCATCCTTTGCACTCTGCTCATTGCACTATTGTCTCGATCTGTCTACATTGTTGTTGTTTTGATTTATGGTGTGTATATTTGTGTTTTGTATACTGTAGTCTGATTCCTGATTTGATGAGTAAACACATTGTGAGCAATGTATGATCCAAAGTCTAATTCCTCGTATGTGCAGGCCTACACATACCTAGCAAATAAAGCTTTTTTAAAATTCTGATTCTGATTCTGATTCTGACATTTTCATCCAGGCAAGGATTTCAGAATGCAGATAAAATTGTGCTTGGTTTTATTTTGAAAATGCTGGAGCGGAATTACTTTGCTATTCTTGGTAGCTACGTAATGCTAGCTCATTCTGTTGCCTGCATCTTCCTCTCGAAAGACTGCCAAACTGAAGAAGCTGCATTTACCCGGTTCAAAATAAGCCTGTAGTCCTGTTTCTGTTAATTGTTTAAGTAATGTAGAATGGCGTCGTGTTTTGGGAAGATTGTCGTTGGTACT